CAGCTCCTAATGAAATGTCTGCCAAATCTGGGACATCGATTGAGTGAACGAATCAGTCGGCTGCCGGCGAGTGCTGTGGGTGGATGGTTCTATTGGGGTGGGATGGGTGGATGGGCTGGTTCTATGGGTGGGTCGAACTGTTGCGAAGTGTTGGCTGGGTATTGGTCAGTCAAACTTATTGCTGGCCAGTATTGGATGTGGCCATAATGAGGGTCTTCGGCTGTGCTGGCGATTCCGTCCTGGCTCGGACGACAGTGCTCGAGTGGTCAGCTGGCTCCTCCACAATGCCGGCCGGCAGGCCTTGATGATGACAGCGGCATAGACAGCGCTGCTGCTGCTTCTTTAGACGATTGCGTTGACGCACTTCGGGATGGCCGCAGCAGTTCTCGCACTCATCGTCCGAGGACGAGGAGCTCTCGCCAAATGCATGCGGCTTGCGGTAAATGCAGCAGCACTTCGATTTGCGACGATTCATGCCCTCGTTATCGATGACGCCCTCCTGGAACGTCACATGGCGGTCCGAGTCCAAGCACATCAACAGCAAATGGACTCCCGATACGCTGGGCCCCTCCTCAGCCATGGCAGTGCCAGTGAGGCCCGACGAGCCCGATGCAATCTCCAACCCATTCCCCATGATGCCCGAGCTGTCTCGCTCAATTCTAATCGGTTGCGATGGCTGCTCTTCCATGCTGCAAGAGTTGTTGTTGTTTTTGTTTTTGTTTTATTCAGTGGTCAATGGATGTGCGGATGTATGTGTGTATGCAATATTCACTCACGCACCTGATAGAGTTCACTTTTTCGGAAATAGGACTGTGCTAGCTTCAGAGAGGAAAAAATTTGTAGGCTAATGTATAAGTGTAATTTGGATGAAATTTGATTAGCTTTGAGCTTAGGTGAACAAAAATCAACGTGAGTCTCAATGCAAAGCCAACTACATATTGTATGTATATTCAGCTAGCCAAAGCTGCCTCCCAAACAGTTTGCTGACCTTTGCCATTGCCGTTGCCAAGCGGCGCGGCTAAGCGCAGTCGTTTCGCTGCCAACAATTTGGGCACGATTTACGTCCGCTGGGCTGCAGCCAGCAGCAGCAGCAGGAGCACCAGGAGGAGCAGCAGGAGCAGCAGGAGTCACACCCAGCTACTGCTGGGCCATGTTTATCTAAAGTGCCACGCCTCCTGCTACAACTGCAGCTCTACTTTATTATTGAGTGAGCCATTTTCCATTTTCCATTTGCCATTTTTCCCTCTCTCTCTCTCTCTGTCTCTCTTTCTCTCGCTCGTTTTTTATTCGCTTTTCACTCACCCACAACTTTCGATTCGCTATTTTTTTTTTTCGCCTCGCAAATAAATGTTCCAAATACTATAAGGACGGCTGGCTCGTAGCGGCGACTGTGCAACTTGAGGTGAAGGAACTTTGTGCAAGCACTTAAAAAAAAAAAAAAAAAAATGCAAGAAAAAAAAAAAAAGAAAAAACTTATTCGTTTGGCTTCTTCTATTGCCTTTTATTTTAGTTTTTATTCACATTTATGTGGTATTAGCGGCAAGAAAAATGATGTGTCTGGCCAAGAGGCGAACGGCCAGCACCTACTAGTTATCCGACCCACACAGCGCCCAGGCTAACCTGAAGTGCAATTCGAATATTCGATTACTTTTATATCGCAGACGCATTGGGGTAAATTGGTTTACTCAAAATGTACGTAACAGGCAGAAGGAGGCGTGGCAGAGCCAGACAGTAGACTAAAGAATGTGAATAGGGGAGGTACAGACGTATATGAGATATGTATTATGATTATAAATATACATATAACCATATGTATGTATATATTATATCAAACATCCTATGGCTTGACTATCGATACATATCGATAATTTGGCTGTATTTTTTCAAATATAATATAATTAATATATATATTTTATATCATCATGCCTGACTATCGATAAATATCGATAGTTTAGCTTATCTTTTTCCAGCGTAACTTTAATACCATAAGAGCTAGAGCTTTCAGATTTACTAAGTAATTCCGTCTATTGCATGCAGAGCATGAGAACATTTCGGATTTTAGATAACACCGCCTTTGCCACTACCCAAATTTACAAAAATCGTCTTCGAATAATAAAGACTCGTTCTATGGTAAACACATAAATATAAATGAAACTTTGATTCAGAAAGTTGATATATAAAACGCCTTAAATTATCAGAATATAAGCTCTTTGCTTAGTTCGTGGTATTTCCTACTCGACTGAAACTGCTTTATTTATTAACCTGCTACAATTTCTGTAATTATATGGCAATCTATTTATAGAATTGGATATTTATACATGAATTCATAATAATTGCATAACACAGCTCTCGCGTCATGTGCTTGACTTTGAGCAGGAAAAGTCCAACGGATAAAACGATCAATCATGGCAAATCCCTGAGCTGAACACTTTCTGTGCTGGCTCTGGGGAATCGGGGGAATGTGAATACAAACAGTTGGAGCTTGAGAATAAAAATCAAGTGCAATTTGTAAATTGCTGAAATTTGTGGCTAATATTTCAGTTTTTGCTCCGAGCATTATAGAGATTTGATGACATTTTAAACTATTTGTGGGGCATCAACAGAAACGTAACGTGTTTTGCTGCTCGTCAGAGAAACATTATGTGTGCAACTCTCTCCCTCTCGCTCTCTCCCACTCTGTATGAGTTATGCTGCTGGACAAGATTCGGTGTTTTCTTTACGCAGCCATCGAAATGAAATCTAAAATTCATTACGCATTTTATGGTGAAGGGTAAAGGCAACGCAACTGAGCAGCCGCCCGAGCTCGAACTCGAACTCGACACGTAACGGCTCAAAGTAATGAGACGCGTGCCTTCAGCAGCCAGCGACCGGCTGAGCTCTGCCAAATGCCATTTATGTCCCAATGGAGAAACGCTCAGCGCGACGACGACGACGACGGCGACGGCGACAGTCGGCTGGGCCGAGGCGAGAAAGCGAATGGTTTGGCAGGCTCAGGTTGAGGCGGTGCCCGTGCCCGCGCCCGTTCCATCGTCTTTATCGTCGACGTCGTCGGAGTTGTCTTTGGGGAATAAGATGAATTACATGCTACTTCAGGCAGCTGCCAGCTTAGATGCTGAAAACGCTGATGATGAAGAATAAGAAGAAGAAGAAGAAGACGATGACGACGACGACGGTTGCAGCGAGCTGGTCTGGTCTCTCTCGGCCCAGCCGGGCCCAGCAGACTCACTGTTAGCCAGTGAAAGACATGTAGATAAGATGTTACGTATACGCACAAAAAGGTACCAGCAACTAAATCCCCAAGCAAATAGTTTTGCTGCAAGCAACAGAGAGAGAGAGAGACAGAGAGAGGGGGAGAAAGAGAGAGAGAGAGAGAGAGAGGTATTAGAAGGAAGCATGGGCTGTGCGGGAAATCAACCGCACGGAAATCATGTCTACGCATCATTCTTTGTGCGCTATTACTTTAGCAGGAGGCGCTTACTGGATGGAGGGAGGGGGGGGACTGGCAAGGGGAGGCTGGCAGCAGCACTCTGCACGGCGGGCAGCAAAACTTTTCTTTCTATTCTTTCATTTTTCCACATATTTCTTCTTTATTTTTTGTTCTTGTTGCTGTTGTTGTTGCTGCTCCCTTTCGTTCTTTCTTCTCCCTTTCTTTTTTTTTATTTTTTTTATTTTAATTTTTTGTATTGTATTTCGTTTGCAGCACTTGTGTGTGAATTTGCGTGGCTGTGTGGAAATGTGTGATAAGCAGTTTCCGCCTGGGAATAGTCGGGCAGCAACAAAACCCATAGAGAGCGTATATAGTTCTCTTCTGTTCTGTTCTGGTCTAGGCTTGGCTTGGTTTGGTTTGGTTTGGCTTGGCTTGGCTTGGCTGGGTTTGCGCCTGCCATTTTCCATTTTCTTTTCATACAACTGGCCATTTTCCTTTTCATTGGCGTCGCACTGGCGTGTCGAGTGGGAGGATCCTGGTGCCGCCAGCGAATAATACGGAGCGTATATAGTTAACCAACAGCAGGAGGAAGCTCTGGCCACTAATGCAAATATAATGGCAAATGTTTCGGAAATATTTCACAGATAAAATTGATAAAGGCATATATGTATATACTCGTTCCTCGACACTCGTTCGCTATTTCTACCCATCTCTCTCTCTCTCTCTCTCTCTCTCTCTCTCTTTCACTCTCTCCTCACTCCATTCTCCATTCCTGTACCTACGCCCACGCCCCATTGCCTTTCATGTCTGCTCGCCTGTTCGCCCATTCCGTTGCCATTGTGCTGCCCAAAATCGGAACGGAAAACTATTTGATGGCATTTGTAGCCCTTGCGCCAATAAAATACAAAAATAAATTTATATTCCAGTGCAAATGATAGTGGGCGTTATGTTTCATTCCCGCATACTTTGATTTTGCATGCGCGCTGCGAGCAAAGGGTTTATTGATTTTGGCCCCCAAATAGAAGACAAAGCCGACTGCGACTGGCTCAATAGACTAAGGCATCGATAAAGATGTTACGAATCGAGGGTTTACCAACTACGTCAACTGCCTCACTTTGCATACAAAATATGTATGTACTAGGGTTGTCGAAAATATATCAAAATATCATTATATCGGAATATTTTTTTTTTTTTGCCCAAATATCGAATATTTTTCAGATATTATATATCGTATATTTGGGTGGTAAGTGAACCAAGCAAAAAGTACAAAAATAAAATTGAATATAATGGAAACGAATTATTCGGACGTTAAATATGGAACATCCGAATGTAATTTGTGCAGAATATTGGAGTTAAGCGGCCTTTATCATGCAAAGAATCAAAACTTATTCTTATTATTCGTGTATTCTTTTTTTTTTTTTTTTTTTTGTAGGTTTATAAACTTAATGTGGAAAAAAAGTTTAAAAAAATGAAAATAGAAAAATATTGATATAACGATATTTTTAAAGTTACACATCAAACATCATATTGATATTTTTCAAAACGTGAAATATCATATTGATATTTTTTAAAACTTAAAATATCATCGATACGATATTTTTAAAATACTCGACAATCCTAGTTGTGCCCTTCATCAGAATACTTCACGAAATAATATTTATATCACTCGCTCTCTACCCTTTCATTTTCTGACAATTTCATTCTGAAACTAAAGTAAAATAATATAAAATTGTGTTACTCGTTTCAGGAATTTAGTTAGTATGATATAGAAAGTATTCAACATGAACATGAGAAAGAAAGAGAGACAAAGGGAGAGAGAGAGAGAGAGAGAGAGAGAGATCTATTACCCCATCTTCTCCAAGTAAGTTTCTAATAATTTCAATCACATTTATTAGCTGTTTCATCCTTTAGACTCCGCATATGTAGATTTCCACAAATATGCGTAAATCAAGCGAAATCTGTTAAGCACCCCTCGCCATCGCCTTGCCGCCTCCTTCCCATAAATGCCTCAAGTTTTTGGGTAATTTATTTGTTTGTGTTTACGCTCAGCCCGGCTTTGAGCTACTTAAGTAATCGAAATAAATAAGCACAAATAGTTGAGCAGCAGTTGAGGCATGGCCTATTGCGTTGCCAAATACTCGTGTTTGCCGAATACTTTGGACTATTCTTTATGGCCCGACCCGAATGCGGAGCTTTGCCAAATCTAATACGAAATTCCATTACAATTATCAACATTTTATTTAAGTCGAATAATTTGAAAAGCAGCAAACGAGTTGAGCGTTCGCTTTCTCTCTCTCTCTCTCTCTCGCTCTCTCTCTCTGTCTCTCTTTGTCTGTCTGCCTCACTCTATTTAGCCCTTTCGGCCACATTCCCGGCAAGACTATCCGCTGGTCCGTGATGCGACGCGGCAAATGTATCATAAATTTTCATGTTGCTCTAGCTGTTGCTCCAAAAATACGAAATGCGATTTTCTATTGTGTTTTTGGCGAGTGGGCGGGTCGGTTGAAACTGCCATGAAACTGGCATAAAATGCGAAACCCAAGACAGAATCCGTCCCAAACTGTAGTTGCTGCTCCTGCTCCTGCTGCTGTTGCTGTTGCTGATGCTGAGGCAGCAATTTGTGTGTCCAGCCATAAAGCAGCAACACACGCGAAGCAAACGCTCCGAGAGGCAGAGTAAAAAAAAAAAAAAAAATGAAACGAAAAAATGCAATACAATTTCATTTTATGCAAGAAACAAGGACTGGACAGGAACTGAAGCAACTGGAGGAGCTGGAGTGAAGAGCAGCAGTTGGACGGCTGGCAGAAGGAGCTGCGCAGGAGGTGGGCGGGTGGTGAGTGGCAGTCGGAGGCAGGCAGCAACATCTTTATGGTGAAAAATTTGTAATTCCCATTAGAATTGCGCTTCGCTTTTCTGGGCTGAAGTCGCTCCTCCTCTGCCTCCTGCCTTCTGCCTCCTGCCGCTGCCCCACCGAGCCCGTTTGCATTGCAGATAAGTTGGCATGAGATGAAATGAAACCAAACCAAGGCACCGGAGTCGAGCGAAATGCGGCGAACTGGCAGTAAGTAGGGAAGTGTATCACACACACACAGACACACAAATATAAATAAATAAATAACAAAAAGCTTGCAAGGACATGAAAGCAATAAAAGCATAAAATGCGCAGCTCAAATTAGATAAACAAAAAATGGCAGTAGACGAAAGAACGCGTCAAATTAAAGTCAAACACAAAGGCAGCTGCAGCACATACCAGGCAGGAGGAGCACACACACACACACACACACACAGCGAAATAGAAGGTGGGTGCAAGGTGAGAGAGCGTGAGGAAATTCCTGGGTTACATAAGTAGAGACACGTTAACTGTAGCAGATACAGATGTAGCGGCTACAGAAGAAGATACAAATACAAGTTGAGAAAACGATGGAGATTTACAGATATAGAGAAAGATGCAGAAACAATTTCTGATTGAAGATACAGATTGAGGGTAATGAGATAGAAGTGTTGATGTAGATTTCTATAATTCTATATAAATAGCAGATATAGATAACAATACCGAAAGAGATACTGATCCAGGTAAAATTAAAGATTCCCTAGTACGATAGATACAGATACAGATAATATTTACACATTGATACATTTACATAAAGATACAGATACTGAATGACTATAGAGAAATATATACTGATATGGATAGAGAATTTGAAGATATTGATATACATGAAGAACTCATCAAGATTCAGATACAGATAGATAAAGAGATTAAGATACAGATACAGAAAATATTTACATATTGATATATACATAAAAATACATATACTGTATTTGTCGCAGATACAAGTAGATATAGGGAAATAGATCTGTATATAGGATAGATAGAGAAATTGTGGTAGGTACTGATGTATATTAAGAGCAGCTCAGATACAGATAAATATAGAGATTTAGATACAGATGTAGATATCGATGGAGGTACAGATTTTGAGACAATTTTTGATATAGATATCACTGTAGATGTAAATACAGAAACAGAGATACAAATCAAATGCAACAAATCGGATACAGATGCTGATATTTGGAGAGATTCAGAAATAAGGATACATATACGGAAGTATATATCTAACCTATAGCAAATGCCATTATATCTTTGTATTTTTCTCTACTTGAATCTACATTGATATCGACATCAGCTGGAAAAACAATCTCATATACTATTATGAAAAGAGATACAGAAGATAAGAGAGAAGATACAAATGTATAAATTGATGTAGATACAGAGTGTAGCTATAAAGATATTTCAATATAAATAGATAATGTCAGAATATGATATGGATAGAGATATATATATAGATACTTATAAAGTTAGAGAAATGTATAGAAAGATAGATACATATTATTTCAATTACAGATGAAGATGCAGATAAAGATAGATATACAGATTTGGGTACTAACAATGTAGATAAAAGTAAATATATATATATATATATATATATATATATATATATATATATATACAGAGAATGGAATCACAGAAACACATGTTTGAAACAAATATTTAGATCAAGAGATACAGCTATAACAAAAAAATGTGATTCAGATACTGGCGACCGATACGGATTTCAGATACTGGCGAGCACAAAGATGCGAAACAGATGCAGTTAGAGAACTTCTCCCATTATTATGAAAATGATATTTCTGTCGGCCATGTTAAAGCCGCTTTAGCTGGTCCAAATGTAACTTTTTCTGTAAGCCTCTGTCTGCTGCGCTGGTGCAAGGCGGGGCGAGGCGAGGCGTGGCGAGGTGAGGTGCGGCTGGCTGATGCCTGCAGCGCATTGGCTGTGCTGCAGCTTAAAATAAATGACTTCTCGTTCCGTTCCGTTCCGTTCCGTTCGAGGGGCTTACGGCGCAGACAATCGACTGCTGTTACTGGCCGCATTTCTCCATTTGCAACTACAACAACTTTTTTTTTTCCCACTTGCTTTCAGTATTTGGTGGAAATGAAGTTTACGCGTGCTGACGCGGCTAATGGTAATGGCCGTCAGTCAGGCCGTGGGGTAAGTCAGTTACAGAGTCACACACACACACACACACACACATACACTGATGCACAGGCTAACATATAGGATTAGAATCATGTGTGTGATGAGTGCAAGCGGAAGGTGCTGCTGCTGCTCCTCCTGCTATTGCTGCTGCTGCTGCTACTCCTGCTGCTTCAGTGCGTAAGACGAAGGCTGCATCGAAGCGCTTCCTGCACTTCTGCAACAGCACAAAAAAAAAAGCAATTACAGCAAAAAAAAAACCAAAAAAAAGAACAAGAAATGCTTTTGCAAGACTTTGCACTTTGCACTTTGCAGCGGCAGCTAGAATAAAACCAGGCTAAAGGAAGCCGCAGCACACACACACACACAGCCAGCCCGCCCAGCTATCAACGTGCAACGACTTGCTCTGTAAATTCCACTTGGCTCTTCCGTTTTGTATCTTTTCGTTTCGGTATGTTAACCGTTTCGTTTCTAGTTTCGCTGCTGTTCTGCTCCGCTCAGCTCTGTTCTGTTCGGCTCTTTGGCAGCATAATTTAGGACAAGTTAATAAGTGGCCCGTTCACTTTAGCACAGCTCGAGAGCCACACACACACACACATAGGTTTTTGCTGTTGCTGTTCTTTTAATTAGCGCAAACTCCTCCAAACTCTAAGCGACACCAAAAACCCCAATAAAATAGCACTTTTTTCTCATGCTCTCTCTCTCTCTCTCTCTCACACACACTCCCTCTCTCTCTCTCTCTCTTGGACAAATAAAATTTTCATAATGGACTGCACTTGAGTCGAGTTGCTAGCTGAAATCATCAGGAACTGGTCAAATTGCCAATCAATGCACTCGTCTGCAAAAAAAAAGTAGGAAAAAAAAATAATAAAAAATAAAAAAGAATCGAACACGCCGGGCCACGTCGGACGCAGAACATGAAACACTTAGCTGGCAATCAATTAAAGTGACGTTAGAGTTCGCAGTTGCTGCTGCTTGCAGCTGCTGTGTCGGCTTAAAGGAAGCACTGCAAATGATAAAAATTTCAGAGAAGGAAAATATTTGAAAACTTGAAAATGAATTTCAGCTCAAACAAAGTGTAGGCAGAAATTGAAAGAGATTGAAATTTAGAACTTATGATAAGCCAAATGGGAGTTCAAGAGATTATGGCTTAGCTCAGAAAGTTTCGTCATTGAAGCCACTTTAGATTCGATTTTTGATAGAGAGGGGAAATGCAATTCCAAGCGGGAAATATATCAGTCTCTGACGGCCCATTTCAATTGATTTATTTAAGAATTATCCCAAGTTCACATTGCCTAAGCTGCAGTTCTATTTAACAGAGTATTAACATAGTCGCGCTAACATAGTTCAGGGCTTTTCTTTATTGAGCTTTGGTTAGGTTATCCATTCCATTTTAGACTTGATATATGATATATTAATATGAATTGAACATGTTAATAATCTATTCAAGGCTCACTTGAAAAAAACTGAAAGTCTAGTTAACATTACATATGCCTTAACAGGATGTTAACATATTAGCTTGATGCATGTCTAACAGAAATACTGATCAGACCCTATATAATAAGCGCTTCTATATAATGAGATGCCAAAAGCTCTATCATTTTTTTCTTTTTTTAATTTTATTTATTTACTATTTATTATTAATATTATTATTATTATTAATATTATTATATATTTTTTTACTCTAACCGACTCTAATAACATATATATTCATATATGCCTGTTAACATATTAAAAATTATTTCGGAATTTGCACTGCGTCTGCGTCTAAAATATTCAATTACTCTGCGGGAGTCAACATCATCTAGTTGAATCGGGTTTTTTTTGGCTTGCCAGTCATGTCGTAATGCAATTGCCTGATAAATGATGTAGATGTTGGCCTGGCAGCTTGAAGAAAATGCATGCATATATTTAATACCCTAACGCTGACTGAGAGTGCAGCAGCAGGGTAGATTGTTTTAGTTAACATTTATGTGACACACATTAAGAATTTATATACGTTAGACTAGACTACCGTCTGTCTGTCCGCCAGTAGGTGCCTCTGTCTTTCATTATTCCTAGATCCATTTATAGCTCTCCCAACTGTATTATCAAATAGCGTAAGCACAGTATCTGCTAGTC